AATTAAAATTATGATAAAATAATTTTTAAATAAAATTGTACATTAATATATTTTAATAAATTAGTTTTAATATAATTTAATTTGTAATTGTCTTTTAATTCAATATAAATGTTTGAATTGCATTGTTATTTATTAGTATAAAATGTTTTTAAAATTTACTTATTAGTACTTATAGTATTATATATTAATATTAACTATAATAGATTTTTTACTATTAGATAATTTGATAGTTCTTATGTCAATTGGATAACGAGGTTATAATTATATTATAGTATCATATGTTTAATTTTTAATAAAGTTTTATTATCTAAATACTAATGGAAAATAATATCTCTATTTTAAGTATATTTCTTTAAGTTTATGTAATAATTTCACTTCAATACAGTGAATTTAGTATTAGTAAATTATTAAAAAAATATAAGTATTAAAATAAAAATAAACAATTAATCATTAAATATAGTTTTACAAAATATTTATGCAATAATAAATAGATAACTAATTTGGAAAAAACGACAATATCATCAATTTATATAAAATAGTTGCGTATATTTAAGTTCAATTTATCTAATTCAACTAATGATAGCATTAATTAATTTTTACAGTATATAAGTAAACTACTAAAAATTATTTTTCTATTATCTATTATATAAATTATTAATATTCAATGAGTGAAATAACCTATATAAACAATTATACAGTATATGTAATATATATATATATTAAAAAATTGCTACATTACATAATTAATCATTTATATATACTGTATATTATATGTAATTTATTTATATCTAAAATATGCATCTAAATAATTTATCAATATCACCTGCTAAAAAATTGTTTAATTGGATCAATTATGTGACCAATATGTTTATTGTAATCGGTTTTATAGTAATTGTGTCCCTATTTGTCACTCGACGACACCATGGGGTTAGTCTATCACATGAACATACAGTGTTTCTATACATTACATTTTCATTGATCATCGCAGTGTCGGCCACAATCAATATTACTATTAGACTCATCTATCGGTACCACATAAATGATAATAATAATGAAACTAATAATAATAATATGACATCTATCGGTTCAACAATTATCACCGATAAGCCTGATTTTAATCGAGTGCCCAGTTATGAAGCACCTCCTTGTTATGAACAAACACAGTCACATATCATCGTTACAATTGTTAAATAATTTATTTTTATTTACTAAAAATCTATATAATTTATTTTATATAAATGTAGAATAATACTTATATGCCATTGATCTCATTAACTTATTTTTCTAGATTTTTCTAGATATCTATTTTAAATAATAATATTTTTATTTAATTAACAATAAAATTTTTATTTTAATTTTATTTCAAATAATTTATTTTACTATATTTCATACTTTCTTTAACCTATAATATTACATAATTTTGATAGGTTTTTGAATTTTTAAAATTCTACCTAACCTAAGTCATTGTTTTTTATCATAAATAATAATAGCATACTTTTTAATCAAAAAGTAAATAACCATTGCAACCGATAATATACATTAACTATATAATCAAAATGTTATAAAAAATAATTTATAATACCCTATTGAATAACAATGTTGTCAACTGATACTAAAAATAATATAATAAAATAAACTTTATTAAATGGTGTCAATCAAACATTGAAACTTTGATAATAAAAATAATTTATAAAATTAAATTGTGTTATTAGTATGAAATAGATATTAGTTAAAAATGTCAACTAATTCAATAACAATAGATCATGAATCTAACAATGACTACAATAATCAAAATGCTATAAAATCAATGCTATTATTAAATAAGATAGGTCGTTTATTTATATTGTTGGCATTTTCATTAATAGTCCTCATATTGATCACCGAAATTGGTTTTTCAATTATGACTCCACTATTGTTGGTCATATTATCGGCAGTCAGTGGGCACAGCCCTATTCGGGGGCTTTATTGTCATCACAACTGGCCGAACATTACAAAGACTTGAAATGGTTGTACGCAATAATAGACAAATAGTTAATAATATCAATAGTTTGTCTGATAATTTTGATACCGCTTACACTAATCCCAGTTTTGTGGAACCACCAGAATATGAGTTACCACCTAATTATGATGATGTTGTCGTTACAAATAAAAATTAAACAATTTTAAACATTATTATAAATATTGTATTATTTATTGTAAGTATTTAAAAATAATAACAATGATGCTTAAAAACAATTCAAATTAATGATAATACTGTGTATTCGTTAAATAATAATCATATATTGTATATATTTTTTAAATCTAAAATTATTTTTAAAAAATGTTTTGTGATATATTATAGTAATTATTATAGTAAATTATAGTATAGTAAACAGTAATTATTATAAGTTTCTTAAATTATAGTAAATATTAAAAACAGTGATTATTTATGTTCACACAATATGTTGTGTTAAATACAATTAAATTCTTTGATTAAAAATAGTATATAATGTTTGTAATTAGTTATAATGAGATCGAGGTTTGATCCATGGATTGAGTACTGAGAGGCCAACTAACATACGAGATGTTAGCAGAGATGGTTCGTCGAGGCTCTCAATTTTGGCCGACATGTAAAACATGAGTAAACGAAACTAAAAATTATAGTAAAAATTAAAATTACCGGTAAATGTCTGTATATTTTAATATTAATATATTATAATATTATAAATTATTACCGATTGAAATAAATATTGCGATATATTATGTGTGGACTGAGAAAACCAGTCGTACAGATTGATCGGTAGGGTTCGGCACTCATAGTTAACTGATATCATATGCCATATAATGGATAACATGAGATATATTCTGATTATTATAACCAGAATATCGGCTGATACGGTGCGGACCAGTTTTGGGGTGTCGTCAACAATGTTCAATATATCATTAGTGCAAACTATAAGTCATTCAAAAAAAAATCATAAATATTTCAATATTAGTGGTAAATCATTATTAAATTTATTGTTACTAAACCTTTGACAAAAAATGATATAATATGATTGATCACATTTACTGAATACAATCCAACCATTTGTTGGACAACTATTATTATATCAAACGTCATGACCACAAATACCGTAATCATTAGCAAATTGAAGGCCCGATTGGTCCGCGCAATTAAGTCGGCGTTATTGCGAAACCATTGCTTAATAATGTTGAGATGATTGACAGTCGGCACAGTTGATGTGTTGTACAAGTGCTTCAAATAATCATTTAATTGCTGGCAGTGGTATTGAATAGCCTGCAAAATGTCAAAAAAAAAACAATTATTAAAATAACAATTACTTTAAGATATCATATATCATATGATACCATTGCAAACGTTATATAGACAACTATGAACCAAGTATTGACTAAACGCATCGGTAAATTTGGCCAATAGTTGATAAATAACATGTTGTGCTGTAAATGTAATTTAGCCACATTTGTCACCAGTATTATCACATGTAGTATTATGATGACCACCAAAATAGTCACTATCTTATAGATAACACTGACTTTATTGACCGGTTTTGGCCAAACGGGTAGCGATTTATCTAACTTTAAAATCAAATTTTTCATAACATATCCTTTCATCCAAAGCATATCAACTGCGCTAACAATCGGCACGAGTTGTAACAAATAGCCCATAGATATGAAGAGATTGCCGTCAAAATTACCGATAATAAACAATTGTCGCAAAATATCAATCATTAGGTATGACATCCATGCGTTCAATAACACCGTTATTACCATTAATAACACATTAATCAGTGATAACACACCGTTTCGTTTGAATAGATATGTTAGCCATTGCTTTGTATTAGTGGCCTCACATCGTCCAGTGGTTAATGTAGTGCTTAGGACGGGAGCACCGGTCAAAGATAACGGTGCCATCACTATAGCTAAAGTTTTAAGCCAAAAGTTATCATACTGTTGCGGTTTGTGATCAGTCACAGCTAATTCAGAAATGGGAGACAAATTAGACAGTGTGTCATTAAATTGTTGATTAATGACATCCCCGACGGTAGACATGTTGTCCAACTCTATATAACTAATATTTCTGGCCATTTGTGATCAATGAGTGATTGACAATAACATACATCAAGTGATCACACGTTTCAATAATTAAGCTTTTTTTGTTATAAAAGTGTTAATTGATTGCAGTTATTGTAGGCATTGATTGAATAAAACATTTCACTTAAGCATTAATTTGTCAAATATAGAGAGTATTACTGTTACTATCAAAATGTATATAAAATACTGTACAATAAACCATCAAATTTTCACAATAGTTTAAAGTTTAAACAAACAATAAAGTATTGTTTCTTATATTTTTTATTTATTAATTTTTTGAGCATTTTATTAATTATTAATTAAATTTTATTAATTTATGTATATATATATATAGAAAGAAAGAGAGAACGAGAGAGGAAAAAATATATTAACAAATTATAATAAAAGTTTATTATTATCAAGATAATTTTTTTATTTCAACAAAATATAATTATCATAATATAAATAACAAGCATAATTTATATTTATATACATAGAGAACTTATTACTGTATAATAATAATTATAATACTGTAGTTTATTTTCAATGCTCAATAATAATTAATTTTTATTGTTTTTTTTAATGATTGTTTAATTACAATATGAATGGAGGTATGAATGTTAAGGAAATTTTCAATGGATTATTCATTATAACAGTAACTATAAGTCTAGGCTTTATATTATTAATCCAATTATAATAAACAATACAATAACTAAGGAATATTTGTCGTAATTTCCTAAACACCTATCCCTCCAACCAAATAATTAATGTTTTTACATAATTATTACAATTTAGTTTCATTTTATTTATTTTATAAAATGACAAGTTTAGCAATAATAATAATAATAATAATGAGAATAACAATAATAATCCTAATCATAATTATAATAATTGTTTTTTATTTTTTGTTTTTTATGATCAATTGCTTAAATTATATATTAATTATTTAAAATTACATTGCAATTAATAAATGATTGATTAATTAACGATGAGTTAAATAACATTTTTAATCATTACTTCATATGCTTTGACTCGCCGTTTACTGTAAAAAATAAATTTAATTTATGAATATTAAGTTATATATATATATAAATATATAAATTTGAAATATATAAGTTTTAGCATATTTTTTAGATTAGAAAAATTTTATTTAATAATTATTATTTATGATAACTAGAAGAAAATGATTTTAGTTTTTTATATAAAAATGAAAGTTAAAGTATGCAAATATTAATATATTCATTTTTCAATTTAGTAATTTTTCAAAATTTTGTATTATTTTATTAATAGATAATAAGTTTTAGTTATAATATTTAGACATTAATGAAATATTATTTAAAATATGACTTTAGTAACACATTATTTTTATACATTTCGCAAACAAATATATTTAAAATATTAAATATTTATAACAATGAATTTAATCATTCAATAAATATTCATGCATGCAATTTTTTGTAGTGATAAAATTTGCTAAAAATTGTTATAATTTAGTAAAATGTTACATATGTTAATAATAAACAAATAAATAAATAATAAATTATTTAGCTTAAAATGTTTAGTTTACTTTATATTTAACAAAAATAAAAATTTTTATTTTTTATAATGATAATATACATTAAATAAAAAAAATTTAAATTCAAGCATAATCCAATGTAAAAGTTATTTATAATATTTATCCATTATATTTAATCTCATTTTAATGTTATTTATACATAACAAACTTCATATATGATATTTATAATATATTTAATATTTATATCTTATTTAGCGTACAATATCATCCAGTCATTGAATTACAAATTAATATCTATTATATACCATAATGTAATAAAATAAGCTATAAATAAAATAATTTACTTTTTTGCAATTATTTCTATTTCTACAGTACTAACTATAGCATAAAATTGATAAAATATGCAAAATACTAATAATGACATAATAATTTAATAATTTAATCTTATAACTTGTCTAACAATTTTTATACGTATAATATTAATTTTAATTAAGTAAATAAACAAAGCAAACAAAATTTATAAAAAATAATGACATTAATTATTATAAATAGACATATTTCTCAATTATATTTTAAAAATCATTTCATTTTCTTCTATAAATCACAAGTATTTCTCTGATCCTATGATTAAGTAAATTATTATTTAGATTATTATTATTATTATCATTTAATAAGTAGTTCCTACCACTACTGTCTGTCAAAAACCTATTATCATTAATCAATTGTCTCTTAAATCTCATTCCTTCACCTTCAAGTATATCACTACTGGATCCACCGTCAGTGTCCCGGCGCTCGTCTACGGCAAACTCATCTATGGGTAGATAATTATATTTGCGAAGTCGGGCTAACTGGTTGGCCATCAATTTTTTGAATCGCATACCTTCTCCATCTAATACAGACTTTTTAAAGCGCATCCCTTCGCCATCAAGAACTGACTTTTTGAATCTCATGCCTTCATTGTCCAAAATTGACGCTTTTTTAAACCTCATCCCTTCGTTATCCAAAACTGAAGCTTTCTTGAAGCGCATCCCCTCGTTGTCTAATACCGATGCCTTCTTGAAGCGCATCCCCTCGTTGTCTAATACCGATGCCTTCTTGAAGCGCATCCCCTCGTTGTCTAATACCGATGCCTTCTTGAAGCGCATCCCCTCGTTGTCTAATACCGATGCCTTCTTGAAGCGCATCCCCTCGTTGTCTAATACCGATGCCTTCTTGAAGCGCATCCCTTCGTTGTCCAACACCGATGCCTTCTTAAACCTCATCCCCTCGTTATCCAACACCGACGCCTTCTTGAATCTCATGCCTTCATTGTCCAAAACTGATGCCTTCTTGAATCGCATACCTTCGCCGTCAAGGACTGACTTTCTGAATCTCATGCCTTCATTATCCAAAACCGATGCCTTCTTGAAGCGCATACCCTCTCCATCAAGTACTGACTTTTTGAAACGCATGCCCTCCTCATCCAAAATACGGTCGTTTTTGCGAAATCTCATTCCCTCCCCGTCTAACACAGATTTACGGAATCGCATGCCTTCGTCAGTCAATAGACTGTCCTTTTTGAAGCGCATACCTTATAGAGATTGAAAATATATATTTAAAAACTAATTCTAATAGTATTATAATAAATATATTTTTGATAACAATTACAAAATTATAAGAAATGAATATTGTTTTTTTGTAAGAATATTTATATAATAATTTATAATTAGTTTGCATTATATGTTTTATGTTATGACTATACCGGTATAAATATATGAAAATTCATACCTTCCTCATCAAGTATAGGGTCTCTTTTGAAACGCATTCCCTCCCCTTCCAGTACTGACCTCCGTTGTCTGTCCACACCATTAATGTTGTTATTACTAATGTTAGCATTTCTGTGCTGTTGTTTCTCATAACGTGTTTTCATACAATTGGCGTATAATTTATAAATTTCCTGATTGTTTGTTATGTTAAGTTTGTTTGAGGGTATCGCTGAAACATACATTAATTTAAATAGTATTACAAATATTTATATTAGATTTTGTTCAGAAAAAAACAAAAAACAAAAATTATTTAATAATATGTTTTTTTATCTCTTTAATATTATAATAAAATAAAATATTTTATACATTGCTTAGCATTCAAGTAATATCAATAATAAATATTTAATGCAAACAAAAAAGTTTAGACATTTAAATTCAAGTGTTGTCTTATAAAAAATATTATTAAAACTATAAACGTATAAAATGTAAATAACAATATAACATCAAAATCTCATCAAAAAATAATACTAATCTCTTTAAAAATCAGATATAAATGTGTGTAAACTTTTTAATGTTTATATAAAATATCAAATAAATAAATATATTATAGCATATATTGATACAAAATTGTTATTTTATCACATAAATAGTTGTATAAGATTTATTGAAAATGATTTTCATTTGTTATTAAACGCTTAAATGTCATAAGATTTTTATTTTATAAATAAATAATTTTATGTTAATTGAAACATTGTTTGTAATTATTCTTTTAAATAAAATTTACTAATTATTTTTACATTAAATATTTTATGATTGTTGTTAGCATAACAGTATATAATAATAATAATTATTATTATTATCAACGTTATACAGTACCTTAATTTTTTTAACATAATCTAGCTTACATATTATATTTGAATTATTTTTATATAGTTCTTTGTATAAAATTAATATACTAGAAATACCACTATATAACTAGTATATAAATAAAATATAAAATTTAATTATATTTATAATTATAATATTTATTATAAATATATATATATATATATATATATATATATATATATATTATATATTAATTAATGTGGACACACACATAGATTATATATAAATATATACAGTAACTATACTCCTTATTTATTAAATTTGCTTAATGCATGTGTATTGTAATTATATAAAATAAATAATCTTATATAAACATATGTCGGAACTGTAACTGTATTATATAAATTATATAATAATAATAATAATATTGTTTAGCACTCAATGCATTTAATGCATAAGGGTTTTTGAAGTCCACATATTTGTTTCAGTAAACCAATACAACAAAATTATTGCAATTTATATCAAGTAACTCATAGTTATAAGTAAGTTATTATTAAAAAAACAAATAATAGTTAAAAGTATAATTAAGGCAAATAAGATATTTAATAAACACTTTAGTTAAAACTTTTCACTTGTAAACCATTAAAATCAATAATGAGTATAACAAATAACGAAAAAATTATGTAAATATAATACATAATAATCTATAAATTACTTGATTTTGTATTACTTTTTCAAGCATTAATTTTATACATGTATATAAGTTATTAAGTTATAACTAGAACTATGTATAATAGGCAATTACCTAAATTTTATTACATATTAAATCGTCGGGAATTTAATATTTAATATTTACGATATACAATTATGTTAATATTTAGATTGAAATAAACACCTATTGTTTTTTTTATTTTCCCGATTTTAAGTATTATTTGGGAAAATCCTGAAAACTGTATATAAGTGTGATTTTTGTCAAAATTAGACAAATTTTGAAATAAATAACAATTAAATACATAATCAGTAAAACATTAACTGCACATCCGATATAATATTAACTCAATAACAATGAAATAGACAATTTGTATGATCAGAAAGCACACTATAGAAAATAAATGTAAAAATTTTATTATATTAAAATAAAAATATCTCAAACATAGGTATTAAACTACATAATTTATGTTTTTCTACATGATAGTTTACAAGATAAATTGTAGTTTAAAATCTAAGTTGAATTTATTTCTATTATTAAATAATAAATTAAAATTTGAAAATAAATGCGTTTTTCATCTAATATAAACCAATTTCGTGATAAATAAATTATTTACAATCAGTACTATAGCTAATAAATAAATTTTAATTTCCCTATTTATCTCCCGATTTTGTCATTTTTTACTCCCGATTTCCCGACCGATTTTGACAATTTAAACTCCCGAAGATGCATTAGCTCTAGTCATAACTCATGTTTTTTTTTTTAAATATCCATTTTATTACTTAAATAATAAAAAGATTTTCTTAAAGGTTTGTTTAATTATTTTTTTGTATAATGTGAATCAGTAATGAAAACTAATCACTTGATATATTAATAATAAAATGTATAGAAAATATAAAAATAAATAATGTATTTATGTTATAAATTTTTTAATTAAAATTATAATTAGTTAATAAAAGATTATCAGAAGATTAACGAATTTTCTATTATAGATTTCATTAAATTTTTGTTTAACACATTTATTATGCAATAGAAAAGCATACAAATGATGTAATTATATTTAATTAAAATTATATTATTTTATTAAATTATATAATTTTCATATAATACTTATTTTAATTGTTGGATCTTAATAAAATGTTAATTGTATGAAACATACAATATATAGTATAAAAATATAAACATATGATAAATGAAATTTGATATAATGTATAAAATTAACTTAATGTCAAATTTGTTATGTTAAATAATATAACATTATATAAAATCTTATACTATAATATATAATTTATTACTATATTGTATATTAGTTTATACTATATTTATTACATTTAATATCATTTTATATACTTTAATATTTACTTTAGTTTCTATTTATTTAGTAGTTAAATGATTTATTAATCTATTTAAATACTTATATTAAATAATAAGAATTTAAATAAATAATTAGTTAATAAATACTGTAACTATTAATATATATTATTAAGGTATCATCAAATGAAAAGTCAAGTTAAACTTGAAGAAAGGTTTAATTAAATTCTGGAAAGTACTGTAATATTCTGTATTTACTGTAATATATTAATATATAAAAAATAAAAATTTTAGTAAATTTTCTAACAATAGATGAATATACTAAAATTGTAAATATTTTTTAAAATACATTTTGTTTGACATAGCTTTTAGAACTTTCGATAATATATAAATACTACTGTAGTATAAAAATGATTAACATTAAATCAAATACAATTGCATATTATATTTAGTATATCATAATATATAAAGTAAATATAAAGTAAAGTACATGTATATTTAGTTATCATTATAATAATTTATTTTATATTATTATTATTCTTTTTATAATTTAAATCATTAATCTGCTAATATATATTAATTATGGTGCGTTAAAATTCAAACGAGTAATGTATTATTTAGTAGAAAACATGTTTTTTAATTTTATAATCTATGATTATAATATATAGATATCATCAACAGTTTAAACTATACTCTAATTTGAGAATAAATATCTATAAAATTTTTGTAAATTGGATATAAAAGTAAACCACAAATTTTGTATTCAATGATATTTAATACGACACTGTTATTGGTTTTTTATGTATAATTTTGTGATATCATTGGCTTCACTGAATTATTTGAATGCTGTATATTCACATCACATATATTTTTATAAAAATTCAAGTTTTTTTTGCTGTTAAATTTAATGCCTTATATAATTTGAAATAAAATTGCACTGATCTTTTTATTTTTATTATAATACATATATACGATATATAGATATATATATAATTTAAAAGTATAACTTACATTATTATATGAAAAATATATTTTTTATAAATAATATTTTAAAAATAAAATCGAATAAAATTTAATTTATACTATAATGTATTGTAGTTAAATATATAATTTTTAAATATATACAATATATATTAATATTAGTTTGCATTTATTTGGATATTATGTGTAAAAAATATTTTCTTTTTTTCTCTGCTTTACTTATTGTTTATTTGTGTCAAACAGTAAAATCTGTTTGACATTTGAATGTTATTTATGTATTATTACTATACAATATAAAAGTTAATAAATATATATCAGTATTAACTAAAAATGAGTGTTAGATTTTGTTTATTATGTGTAAATATTTGATAACAAATCAATTTGTACGTCAAAAATTTTTTGTCAATAGCTATGGGCCACAAATAAATCTAATGTAATTTATAATTAAAATTTTTTATTTGTTAAGCTACACATAAAATTTATTACCAATGTTAATTTAAAATAATTGATAATTAAGCAAATTTAATGATTTTACTGTAATAAAATAAGTTTTGGAAACTTTGAAAGCTTTTAATGTAATTGTTTTGCAAATTAACTGTAACTTTAAATCATTAATAATACACAACCAAACTATAATTTTTATTGATTTAAAACTACAAAATTAAAAAAAAACTTTATAAATTTTTTACATATTTAATATTTACAAACATAAAGCAAATTGCATATTTATTTTAAACTTTATAATTAATAAAAAGAATTTAAATATAATTCAAAAAATCAATATTTTAGAGTATATTTTTTATACTTTTAGTATTATAGTTAACAAAATAATTATAAAATATAAACTTACTTGTAGTCGTTGTTTTAGTATTATTATTATTATTATTGATATTATTAATTGTAAGATTTTTCAATAAATGGGAACAAACGTCAACATTATTAGCGCCGCATAATTGTTGAATGTTAATAGTTATGATTACAGCCAATAATATCAATAATCGTTTGCACATAAAGTCACTTATTATTATATTAAACATGATTTTATATTTAGATATGTATGTTTGGTAATTATTGTATTATTAAATATAAAAAACTAAAAACAAAAAATAATATTTAAAAAATATCAAAAAGTTTTTATTATACAATTAATAAGTTTATATTTTAATAATTATATATATATCAATATTTTAATATTTATTATATATGTATATAGATTGTGTGTATAATTTATATATACTTATAAGAGTATAATAAGCTTTTTCTCTTAAGTTGGTTTTAACACAATATTTAGTGATATGAGAAATATGAGAGACTTTTCAACCGATTTATATATACTGTGAGACAGAAAAAGCCAACAAATTCTGTAATTCTTGAGCTCAGAATCTCTACGATTAGTGAATGTAATGTAATATAATGTATGGATGCGTGTGTTGTGCGTCTAAAGTCTATAATATTATTGCCTATATATGTATGACTATATACTATATTATATACTCTATATATCTTATAAGGAATATATATATAAATATATTTCAATTCATTGATTATATGCTTACAAGCATTCAACTCAATTATCAATGATTTCATATTATACTTAATATATAAACTTCATTTTAATTCTATAGTTAAGACCACAAAATACTTTCATTCATGTTATGTGAATATCGTATTTCTAATACAATAAGTTATTATATATAATATAGAGAATAATTTATAATAAATTAGTATTTATAATTTGTATATAATGTTATTTAGTTACTAATAATAAGTAATTTTAATTTTAAAACTGAAATTTTTATCATACTTAAAAAAATTAATAAAAATCATATATCCATTATAAATATTATATTTGTAAAATAAAACTTTAAGTTTAATTAATTTACTAATGTTGACTAAACATACTACAAGAAAAGTAATATCAATACTAAGATACAGTTAACCTAAAAATGTTAGACACCTGTCAATAGATGGTTTCAATTATTGTCAAACTCGCTAATCACTGCTATTTTTAGTGATGAAGAATATAGGGTTACACTGAAAAATCACATCATTCACAGTATATTACTCTATAAACTCAACTAATATACTACTGTAGTGTATATTGTAATATATTTAACTCTAAAGTATAGCTAATGTCTGATCAAAATTAAATATCAGACCATTTGATAATTTGTGTGCAAAAAGTAATGGAAAATAGAGAAAACAAAATCAATGTTAATTTCTTTTAAATCTTACAATTGTTTTATTATTTCAAATCTAGTGATATCAGGTTATCTCTATGTTGTTGTGTCCATACAATTGGATGCTCTATCAGTAAATGAAATATTATAGATTATTTACATTACAATGTTATTATTTATTATTATTATGTAATCCATCATCTATTATTTAAAATGAGAAGATAGATAACATTTTAGTATATATGATACTAATCACAATAATGATTAACATTACAAGATAGTTGTAATTAATACACACACAAAAATTATAGTTACATTTTATTTAGCAAAAAACACAACGCCTACATTTAAAAATATTGTTGTTTTTAATTATTTATAATAATTATTCTTTAAATATTTATAAATTAAAAACATTCTATAAAAAATGTTTACTTAAAAATGTTTACAGTAATTAAGAGTTTATTAAAAAAAAGTTTTAAAAAAGTTTAATAATAAAAATGTTGTCCTAACTTTTATGTATTACTGTAACAAATATAAATTGGAATAAATTTTTATTTAAACTGTTATGTTTTTTTCAATCACTAACACACATACATAAATATATATACATACATATATACATACATACATATATACATACATACATACATACATATATACATACATACATATATACATACATACATATATACATACATACATATATACATACATACATATATACATACATACATATATACATACATACATATATACATACATACATATATACATACATACATATATACATACATACATATATACATACATACATATATACATACATACATATATACATACATACATATATACATACATACATATATACATTCATATATACACTTATACACAAATAGCTCGTCAAATGTTATTTTGATTTTATTATTTGTTTTTTTATTTTGTCAGAAAAATTTAATTTTGAACGAAAAACCTCGTCTGACGCCAAATAATGTCATTTCGTATCATTAATTTGTGGTCCATTTGACGCAATTTAGACCCAAAATTAAACAACAATTTTATTTAATAATATTGTTATGTTTAATGTTTCCGTTATTTAACAATAATGTTTACGACATTACATTATTTTTTATCATATCTGTCAAAATTTGTTTTGTATTTACTTGAATATTTTTTAAAAATATTAGATACCATACTACCATACTAAATTTTACTATATTTTTAAATTACAATATTTATATCATACATTTATTAATATAAATTATTTGTTATAAAATATTATAATATTTATATTAAGTTACAGCTTAAATACTGTATGTTAAATACTATTTTTCAGATTATTTATTTTAAAATAAAAAAGTATAGATAATAATCAAATTATTATAATCAGCAATTGTTATTTCACATAAATTATAATAATAAAATTTTTATAACAAAAAAACGTATTGTTTATTAGATTACTTTTAGTTAAATATTATTTACAATATTTTTTAGAATAATTTAATAAATAAAAAAATTATCAAAATAATAAAGATTGATTACTGTATAACAAAAATTATTTAAACAATTTTTATCGTCAATAGCATAGTAACAGAAATGTATTAAAACACATTATGTAAATATTATTTTTAAAGTGTTTAGATATACAAATATCAATAAATAATGATAAATTTTAAAAATCCATTATCTACAGTAGTTTATTATTAAATATAATTTATCTTTAGTTAATTTTTCATTTTATATAATTTATTTTATAATAGATAAATATGTTATTCTCAATAATTTACTAAACATATATTTTTGCAAGTAAATATTATTATGCTGATTTAAAAAAAATTAAATTATTATTTATTAATTTATATAATAATACAATATAGAAGTAATTGTTGTTTAATTATTTATATTATAAACCAAAAATTTATTATACTATAACATAAAATTATATAATTAATAAAGTTAAATATATTAAAGTAACTTAACATTAAATATCTGTATATTCTAATAATTAAATAAAAAATGTAAATCTGTAAATTTAATATGTAAATAATGTATTTAAAATCTTGTTAAAAATAATGTTTTCAAACAATTTTCTCGTAAAATAATTATTTTTCAATTAACATTGTGATAACAAATAGTTTTATTTAGAATAATTACAGCAAATATAAAATTTAAGTTGTGTAAAAATAAGGTTAATTATATGAATTAATTAATAATTACACAATTATAGCGTGCAATGTGCTAGTATAGTATCGTATGTGTTATATACTGTACATATGTAACAAATAATGTTATAATCTCTTTTTGACTGCAATTGTTTGAATACAAAAACAGTAAAGCGCTTAATTAAATTAAAATTAATTTACCGAAAAATTGTCAATCATAAATGTCAACAAATATTACATTAAATCTATTTTATACTGTTGTCACATATTCATTGCACAAAACAAATAATTAGTAATTATTATATACTCTTACAAATTGTTTACAACTAAAATATTTATTTTAAGTTATTGTTATAAATTATTAAACAAACTATACCATAATATAACAAAATTATAAAAGTTAAGTTTTATTTTTAAATTAATAAACTAAATAAAAATTATTGTCACATAGTTTTTAGATAGAATTTTTTATTTTAACATTTTATTTGTTTGTTTGTCTAATAATTTTTTAAAATTTAAAATTTATTTTAATTATAATATGAATTTAATTCTAGATTAATTTGATATATTTTTCACAATTATCCGATTCAATAAATGAATGGCTAAACATTTAAAATTTATATTAAGATATTTTGAAATATATTAGTCTCTGTGTTGTATACTTTTACAAGCTCTACGAAAATAGACATTTATGTCTACTTAGCTCTACGAAAAAATTAAACAATTGAATGGTATAAGCTCTACGAAAAATTTATACAATTATTATATTAATAATAATTACATTACATTGCATTAAACACTATACTATATTATAATAATGTATAACAGTAAAAGTTGTTAGCCTTCACTTTATTATAAACATGTTTACCTTAAATAAACAACCAATAAAAATCAATTAAATAATTTTATTTTTTAGATTATTAAATAGTATTTAAGAAGGCGAAATTGCATTATTCTAACAGTTAAAAATGAATTCACTAGATATTAATTATAATTTATTTGAAAATAGACTTTCTTCATTTGAAAATTGTGTTTTAGATGAATTAATATCAAACAACTTCAATCGGTTTGCAGATGCTGGTTTATATTATGTTGGCCATGAAGATATTATGAAATGCTTTGAATGTAATGGTGGACTTTATTGTTGGGAACCAGGTGATGATCCATGGATAGAACATGCAAAATATTACCCGACATGCAAGTATCTCAACGAAAAGAAAAGTCAAACATTTATCAAAACATGTGTTGAAATACATGAAAGTGAAAAGCGAAACAAAGTACTTTTACCCAAGTTCGAAGAATTGATTTCAAAAATTAATAATTTAAAAATAACTAATGAAAATATAAATCATCAAATAATATGTGAAACAAATAATAAATGTATAAATGACCAATTACTATGTAAAATATGTTACGTAAATGAAATAAATAGTGTATTGTTGCCATGTTGTCATCAATTAACTTGTACAGACTGTAATTTAAAAATATCAAATTGTCCTATTTGTAATTGTTTAATAGAAATAAAACAAAAAGTTTATATTTGTTAAAATTTGATTTTTATTTTTATATTTAAGTTATTTTATTA